TTGCTCTCCTCTGGACATGCTCCAGCAATGCAACATCCTTCTTGTAGTGAGGGGCCCAAAACTGAACACAGGATTCGAGGTGCGGCCTCACCAGCATCAACAGGTGATGTTCCCGGGTGCCTGTGCAGCATCCCGATTTACGTGGTGCCTTCCTCTGATTTTGCTCAGGTTCCCATCTGAAGGGTCCAAGCTGCTGTACGACTCCATCCAGAAGAGCTGCCCTGGTCCTGTGGCAGGTGGGAAGGCTGGGGGCAGCAGCCCAGGCTGGGCCACCCTGGGTGGGTGCCTTGTGTTTCCGAAAGAGCCCAACCCGCTCCTCGTGTCACCCAGGTGACCGAGTCTCAGAGGACCCCGTCTGCCAGCTGCCCCAGCCGGTGACACTCACCAAAGCGGTCCGTGACCGACTGTCCCTCGTCCATCAGATAACCAGTCCCAAAGCTGTAAGTGCACCCTGGAGGAGGCTGCAGCTTCTTCCTTTCTGCCTCCCAGGGAGTTTTTCCCCACGTCTTGTCTGTGAGTTCCTTTATTTGGGACGTAGAAGCTGCTCGTTGTCATTTGCAGCTGGTCCCGGCAGGTCAGAGCCCTGATGGGGGCATGGTCTGTTGACCATGGTCAACGACTGGGTGGTTCGGTCTGGCGTAGCACAAAGCGGAGACGGGATAAATGCCGAGTAATCTCCAGACATCTGTCTTCCCTGTCTCAGCCGAGGCAGCAAATAGTTGTGTCTTCAAATTAGAGATAGGAAATGGGGACTGGAGGCTTGAGAACTTGATCGGGTGCCCCCAGGTCGCAGAGCAGTGCGTGGAGTCAGCATTGCAGGCAGCTGCCCGCACTGCCCGCTTCCCCTTCCCCGCTGGCAGCGATGCAGGAGCCGGTGCTCAGGCCAGCTTACCAGGCAGCGTGGTGGTGGGCTTTTGGAGGGGACTGGGGGGAGCCCATCCGTGGGGAACCCTGTCCGTGGGGGAAAGCCATCCTCATGCTATGGAGAGGGAGAAAACGAGGAGCGCAACCGCTTTGGTCTTTGGAACTGGGCTGCGCCGAGCTCCTCTGCTCAGGGGAGAGAGGGCAGCTCTGCTGGAGGCTCTTTGGGGGGCTGGATCTTTCCCGGGGCTCTGGTCTGCTGCCTGGAGGAGGTGAACGGTGCGCAGGCAACTCTGGGAGCGTAGGAGAGTGCCTGGATAACGTACCCACGTACCAGCAGGGACGCTCCCCCGCCACGCTGCTCCACCCTCGTTTGTAACGCTGTGAAGTCGCTCGGGAGAGGCGGGGGGGTCTCTGCGGTGGGTGGAAGGCGCTGGGAGGAGGGCTGATCTCTGTCTGAGGCTTTGCTCTTTCTCAGGTGCCACGTCGGTGTCCTGTAATTACGAAAAGCATCCCTGAGGTTCATCTGACAGCCCCGGGGCCTCCAAGAGCTGTGCCTGCTGGGCACCAGGAGCTAGCGAAGAACCAGAGGCCGCCCAGTGCTGGGCAGTCACCGTCAGTCAGTGATGGTGGCATCCACGTCTACGCTTACCAGAGGAGCGAACGAACCGTCCGAGCCGTCCACACCAGCTCGGAGGAGGTGGGGGAAGCGGCGGGGAGCCACAGCAGCCCGAGGGGGGCTCTGGGATGCTTACGGCTGATGCCTCTGAGCCTGGCAGAAGCAGCAGAGGGAATGCAAGCTTTGGGCTGGAGTTAGTCCAGTTGATCCTAGGGAGCCCTTTCGCTGGCATTACTTTTCTGACTAGCGGTTCTCCTTGCCATTAGTAGCATAGTTGCCTGGAAAGAGGGACCCTGTGTTCGAATGCACTGACCTTACACTTACCAATAACACGTGTTTACTTGTTTGGCCAGAGCGTGTACGGGAAGGGCCCTGGAGCAGCCGTGCTGGCCAGCAGGAGAGCCCCCGCCTGCAGGGTAAGAGGCCAGCCCCTCCGCAGCAGCCGCCGGCTCTCTGGGCATCTCCAGGGCGCTGGGAAGGGCTGGCTGGAACCCCCCAGCTGCTTAACACCGGGAAATACCAGCTCCTCCTTCCAGATTTCACTTCTGCCAAATTAAATACTCCACAGCCATCCCCTCTGACAGGGGAGAAGCCAAAGTTGCCTCTGCTTTGGAGGGGAGGGAGCAATGGGGACAGAGGGGCCCCGTGGGCAGAGGACCTCAGTCTGGCTCCGAGCGTGACTGTGCTGTCTGTTGGGTTTTTTGTTTTCTAGAGGCTCTTACCAGATCCCATCCTGAAGCTGAGGATGATTATTGGCTTTGGAGGCTGCGGCACCAAGTGGGTCAGTAGCTCGGATGGTTTGGGGAGTTCATGATGTGTAATCCCAGATTGATTTTTTTCGGAGGCGTGGAAGGCAGCCGAGTGCCACCCTTCCTGCACTTTGTGATGGGGAAAATGTCCCAGAGCAGATGGGCACGAGCCTATGTTTGTGCGTGGGCCTTTCTGCTCTTACGATGGTGAATTAGAAATCACAGGGGCCTTTTAGATCCCGTGGCTTCTGCATTTTAACATGTTAAAAATTAGAGCCACTTTGTAGGAGTCTGGAAAGGAAGGGCTGCGGTTTGACCTGTGCCCATGGGGCGCTGTGCCTTGCAGGTGCCCAGCTGAGGCCTGGGTTAGGGTAAAGAACGGGTCGTTTTGGTTCAGCCAGTTCAAGGCTCTGCCACCAACAAGATTTTCCATCTACCTGCTATTCATGTAGTGGAGATGGTCGGTGCGGTAAAGCCACTGAATTAAGCAGGATGTCAGGTCAGCTATGGGTTTTCCTTTGGGAGTTAGAAGAGTACTTGTGTGGAAGAGCATCCTCTCGCCTGCGCGCGCGCAGCCCATCTCCTGTCGAAGGAATCTCTGCAGGTCCAGCCTAGGACCTGGGGCACCCCTGGAGGATCTGCAGCCCTCCCATTCCCACCTTGCTCTCCTGCAGGCGCTGTGGACTCGGAACAACGCTGCGGTGGTCTACCCCTGCCACGCCGTTATAGTGACCCTGCAGATCCAGACCGGAGAGCAGAGGTTCTTCATCGGGCACACGGATAAGGTGAGCGTAACTCTCTTTACACAGCCGTACAGCGATGCTGTTCTTGTCCCCCAGATGCACCCCCGCTCCCAGCTCTCCTCAAAAGCCCCTAAACCCGGTGCTTCCCGCAGGTGTCGGCGCTGGCCTTCAACGGGAGCAGCACCCTGCTGGCTTCCGCGCAGGCTGGTCCCCCGAGCGTGGTGCGACTCTGGGACTTCCCGACGGGCAGCTGCCTCTCGGTGTTTAAACCCCACATCCACTCCCTCTCGTCCCTGAGGTGGGTTCCAGCCTGGGCGCGGGGATGCCTTGGGGTGGGTTAAGTGTTGCAGCACAGCAGCTTTTCTGCGCTATTTGCGTGTGATAAACTGGGAGTGAATTACAGCTCCTCTTCAGCTGCCTGTGTTTATCGCTGAGACCTGCTGGCGGCGGGCCCGGAACAGCCGACACGCTGCCAGCTCCCTCCTGAGTTTATCCCCCAGGTCTTGTTGTCTCCCCGTACCCTGAGCTTGTCCTCTTTTATTCCCTGCTGGGACGCACTCAGGGTGCAAGGAGCTGGGTTTCACCAGGCGGCCTCTTCTTGCAGCTTTTCCTACAGCGGAGCCGTTCTATGTGGCGTCAGAAAGGACGGGCACGGCAAAACGGTGAGGACTGAACCTTGGGTTTGGAGGTTTCCCCGCCCTGCGAACGAGCAACACGAGGTGGCCGTGCTCCCAGATTATGTGCTTATTTTGCAGACAAACCTCTGCTCTGGGCTTTCCTAGAGATGCGCTTCTCTGTAGCCAGAGGGAGATCCTTTTCTCATTAGCTGCTTAGAAAATACTTCCCTTCTACCCAATGCTCGCGAGTGTTGGCATGCACCATCCTCCGCTGCAAACGAACGAACCCTTTCAGAAGCAGCCTGGGACCTGCTCG